CAGCAGCATGTGAAGACGCCAGTAAGCCACCAGCCACATGGCAAGGTATAGATGTATGGAAATGGATCAATTTAAGATAAAAGCACAGTTAGAGATAAAGGAACAGTTGGCAAGAAGCCTGCCACAGCCATGCGGTTTGAAAGCAATATAAGTGTCTGTGTTTACTTGGTTGGGTCTGAGCGGCTGTGGGACTGGCGGGTGACAGAGGTTTGTCCTGACTGTGGGCGAGGCGGAAAAATCAAGCTACAAAAAGCCATAGGAGAGCCAAAGCCTATTGAATCTGAAGACCCTCAAGCCAGCCTCTAAAATTGAAGTCTCAAAAGTCCATGAACCAGATCCCCATCACGTCCACCCTGAGGCCAATATCATGAAGAAGGGCCCCTGGGCCTCATCTCCATTAGCACATCTGTTCCAGTATTCTACACCTCAATAAATACAGATGATCCCCCCAGGACTCCAAGTGACAGCCCAGCTGTCCCTGAGGTTGGTAAATGCTAAGAGCCACTGCAGTGACCCAGTGGCTGGCCTCAGATAGCCAGGGACACAGGGAAACCTTCACCTGTGTGAGAAAGTCCCAATCCTTAGCCAAGGGCAACCTGTCTCTGCCTGCCATGCCTGAACTACCAGGGGCAGATTATCTTCAACCGGGTGCTATGATGGCTAGCATATCCTGTTTCTTTCCCCCAACCCCACTTCAGGTGAGAGCGTGCCAAACATCTGAGACTTCATCTTCTTTTAAGAAAATAGGCAAACTGAGATTTCGGAACACATATCTTCAAACCTAAAACTAATGGCTGCTCCTGCTGGGGTTAGCCCCCAAATGACGAGTGAAGTTTCTCCATAGTCAATTTCTAATCACTGCCTGTGGCATTCAGCAGGAGGGTTCAAGTCAGATAGGCCTTGCAGAGGGAAAAATGGGGGGAAATGACATGAGTCTAGTCGTCTCTTAAGAACTGAGATCTTTTCTTGCTAGGCAGAAAAAGGAGGCGTGAGAAATAAGCCTTCTGCCGACACGAGGAACGGGTTATGGTGATGTTCATTTGACATGCAAAGGCTCTGAATGCCTACCAGACAAAGGAGGCTTGTTTCTTTACGGACTGAGTGATAGCGTGGACTTGGCTGTGGTGGTTGCAAAGGTGTTTGGCCTGTGCGAATGCATGAGCTTAGAGAAGAGCTTGCCAAATCCCGTTAAGGTTTATGGAAGTCAAGAAGCCTAAGACTTCCAACTCTGGTCCCATTTCTCAAGCTCGGCTTCAGGTTTTTGTACTTGTAGTTGACTGGCTTTTTTTGTGTTTTGATTTTTCATTAACACAGAAGGCTTGCTGTTGGCAATCACACCCTGGAATGTCCTTGCTGGAGCTTAACATTCCAGCACATTCTACATTGCCTAATGATGAAGTTGTGGTTTGCCAGGAAAGGACTTTTTAACGCTTTCCTTCTAGAACTATCCCTGTGCAGACCTCAGCTAGCTCAAACAGAGCTTCTGTAAGGGCAGAGGGAGAGAAAAGCTGCTATAAATACTTTTATGGGCTGCAGAGGTGATTTACAGCCGGCTTTATTAATCCTATAAAAAGGCACAGCTGAATGCCTTTAAGTTGCATGCGTACAGATGACTAATTAAATACACAGTTGAAAGTCTTGACCCAGCACAATTCTGACCATTAAAGAAATAAGTCTCGAATTCCCCTCCAGGCAGAACTTTTCGGATGGATTTCTGTGTGGAAGCGGGTGGGAGATAGGTGGAAGGGGGAGGTTGACATTGTGGAAGGTAGAGAAGAGGGGGGGGAGGTTTGGGGAGTTGGTTTCTGCTGATTCGTGTTCACCACTCCACGAATATGTTCCCTACACATATTCATGGGAGCATGGCAGCAGTATGCTTGCCCCAGACTGCCGAGGGCCACTTCGCCTGACCTCTGAGAGTAACAACACCGCGGTTAGTGTGAAGAGGGAATGAAGTGAAGCACTTTGGAGACAGAAAGGAAAATGGGATCCTAATGTTGATCGAGGGATGGAGTGGTCCAGGCTTGCCTTGCTCACCCACTCAGCCCATCCCACTCCCACCGTTGACTTGCACTCTCACAAACTGAGGCTCAAGGATGAAAGATGGTTTTTCAACTAGTAACAAGATTAGTTAAGGGCAAGGCCGGGACAAGGACCCAGAAGTGACCTCTAGAACATTCACCTTTCCGAGACACCATTCATTCCTCAGGCCCTGTTGCCAGGAGACACAACATGTTTCGATGGGGGAGAGGGGATTAGTGGAAAGCAAGTAAGGTAGGCTTCGATTCCAAACACAAAATGTTTGCCAAACCATTTATCAGAAACATAAAAGGCCCTTTCAGTTTTCAGGTTCTTGGAAGGGACTGGAGAAAGAGGGAGTGGCCTTTCCCATCAGGAGACAAGCTGAAACAATTCTTCCATCAGCTCCTTGAGGTTTGCTTTGTAAGTTGGCCCCCTCACAAAGTCTGGCTCTGTTAAAAAATACTTTGAGAAGCTCCCATATCAAGCTGTGAACGTGTGCTGTGAGAACACTGGGCAGTTGGGTCGGGAGGTCTGGGGAGACTGCCGGAGGGGCTACGGAAGTCAGCCAAATGCTTCTCCTGCAATGACCAACAAGGTCAACCCCAAACCTTTCCACTCCTCAAACTGGGAGCATGGCTGAGATGTTTCCCCATCAGATAGCTCGACGTGCTTTGACTTAGGATTCCAGGGTCGTATCATTAACTCCAAGATTAATGACAAGCTTTCTTCCCTCTCCACTTGTGAAACATGGGGCCTGGCTGTTGCCTCTGCCTGGGAACATTGCCCTCACTGTCTTTCATTAGTCTTGTTCCTTTCATCAGCTCGCTCAGAGTCAACTTTCAGCTCAAATGTCACTTGCAATCAGGGAAATGTTTCTGGAACCCAAGAACCAGGGTTCATTGCAGAGACTCCCAGAGAACAGGGTATATACACCCTTGCCACAGAACACATACTCTCTTCCAATTCTTCAGGTTTGTTCTTCCTGCCTGATATGGGCACCATGAAAGAAGCGACCATGCCTAGCCTCCATTGGATCTCTTGCTCACGCCATGATGCCAACATATAGGCATGCCTTAATGTCCAAGGGTTCCTCCTCCTTCCTCAGCCTTAGCCCCTTGCTTTCTATATTCAAAACCATCAAGGTAAGAGAGATGTGGAAGGAAATGACTAAACATGAGAACTGGATTCATTTACTAAGACCACTACAAAAACTGAGTGGCTTTGAACAACCACGGTCACAATGACTTAAAGAGGGCAGAATCTAATGGTCTCTGTTCTGGTTATGAAAGGCCAAATCCAGGTGTCAACAGACCTCTCTCCTTAGCTTGTAAATGGCCGTCCTCCTGTTCACGTGATATTCTCCCTATATGGTTCTCTCTAAATTTTTCCCTTTTGATAAGGTCACCAATCATGTTGGATTAGAGTCCATCCTAAGGACTTCATTTGGACTTGATAACTCCTCAGACATTCTATCTCCAGGGTGACATGGTAAGGTACTTAGGAGTTAGGACTTCAGTATATGAATTTGGGAGGATAATATTCATTCCACAAGGGGAGAGCTGAAGTCACTACAACCAGCTGGCCACTTGAAAGGCTAGAAGCCACCACCATCACAAATGCCAACTTCTGTGGGGCTTAGAAAGCCAGGCAGGGTATCATACACTAGGCATCTAATTTTATTCAAATTGGGAGCATTAAATTGCTGAAGAACTACCCCCCACATCATTGTGTTAGAATAAAAAGCATCAAATTCACTACTATTTACAGAACACCCCCTGAACATAGAGTTGTACCCTTGTTCCCACTAACCACTCCTGGGACCATGACAAGAAGCCAAGTGAACCAGTTTTCCTAGGAAGTTACAGGAGTTTTAATTTCTTGCTCTCAACTTTCACTATTATTCCCAGAATGACTGTGAAATTGGCCTTCCAGCCATACGCCTGGTGAGTAATCAGTGGAGGTCACTCGGGGTGGACCTATGCCTCTGCTTTCTGACTGAGTATTTCTTCCTCAAGTCCCCGTTCCCTGAAGCAAGGCTAAAACCAGGCAGCTCTCTGAGCATCTGCTCCTGCTGCCCACCAGCTCGGTTTGCATTTGCTTCACAGTGATTGCATTAGCTGCTCCTGTTGCAGCAAAATGCAGGACAGACTCTAGTTAAGGGGAGGGGGTATTTGGGGTCCTGGCTTCAGAGGATGTGGTTGGCACAGTTCCTCACATGGTGGCCGGATAAAGAAGCAGAAAGACTAATGGAACCAGAGGCACGCATAACCTTCAAGGTGTACACTTTCTAGGAACTCAGGCTTGACAGCTAGGGTCCAAATCCCCAAGATTCCACAACTTCTCAAGACAGTGGCACCAGCTAAGGATTAAGTATTTAAACACATAAGCCTGTTAGGGAACATTTCACATTCAAACTGTAATAGTCATGCTGAATAAATATCCCCTGTACATTCATAAGGCATCCATATTTTCTTGCTCATAAGTCCTCTTTATATGTGAAAGGTGACTTTTAAAAATTGTTTTTTATGTTTGAGATTATGATTACATCATTTCCCTCCCTATATGTATCCCTAAATATAACCTGCTCAATCTATAATGTTACTTGTATCTTTTGTGCTCTGACCATCTGGTATTGGATAACCAATTGATGTGCAACTGATAATATGGCCTGGCTTTTTTCCCTCCAAATTTCTAATTTTCTGTTTCGCTTAAAAAAAAAAAAAACTAAAACCTTGCATCTGTGTGCAGCCAAATACCAAGGCATTTGCTTTTTCACCTTTTTCTTGTCTTATGTGCTTCTCCCTGGTCCCTCACATTCTCCAGGGGCGTCTCCTACTGTTTGTCTCCTGCATCAGGAGTTGTTCAGGTAACTAACCCAGGAGCCTCGAGTGACAAGTTTTGTTTCCACAGGGATAGCTTTGTAATGCCCGAATGAGATACACTTCACAGTGTCAAGTGCTACTTCCATCAGTACTTACCACATTTTATAGGCGTGTATAAGTTGTCTCCAGCCAGACTGACTTCCATTAAGGAAAAGACTGGGGTCTCGTCACAACTGTAGCTCAGGAATCTAGGGGGATGATTGGCAAGCAACAGGTATTCAATAAATAGTCTCTTGAATAGTATCCCCTCTCCCTTAATTGCTTCTTAGTCTGTAAGTATCCTACATTATAGTTTCAACGTGAAGTACATGCACATGCACACGCACACGCACACACACACACACACACACACACACACACACACACACACACACGGCTCACGTGTTGAAGACTTGGTCCCCACTTTTTGGCACTCTTACATATTGTATGAGAGAATTTTCCTGGGGCAATGTGACACACACACATCTACTCTCCCTAGAAAAGGAGCCCATGGCAAATCAAAGTTCACAACTGTACTGACATCTAACTTGGTGAGCCACTGAGTTTTTATTTAACAGGAGTATGGACAAGGGATTAATTACAGGAGCAGGGGGTGGAGCTCAGAACAGCTCCATCACTGAAGAGCCCACCCCAGCGTGAGTGCTGACTCTCAATTCTACTTCCCCAGAGCTCTCTGCATCAGCTGTAGGCAGCTGGATTGGTCCAAGGGACTTCCCAGCAGTTTACCTGGTCAGTCTCTTCCTCTAATAGTCTTTCGCTGCTCCTGTACAGCTAGGGAGGGGCCATCTTGAACCTGCTGAATTTTTGCTTTGCCACCTTTCTGACGTGTGAAGTTTACCTCCTGAGTTTCAGGAGCCTTTCCATCCCTTTCCCGGGGCAAACCTTTCAATCCAGGGAAAACTACTACGTGACAAGATGATTGCATCACTGATCACTAAGGTTGTAACTTCATCCACAGAGTCATCCATACTGAATATTCCATTAGGAGATAGGGACTGGTTAAAAGAAGTAGGTTACTAGCAGGTGTTTCTTTGCAGAGTGTATCTTGTCCCTCCCAAGCCTGACTGGCTGGCCATCATGAGGTGAGAAACTTTGCTCTGCTGTGACCTATAATCATGATGTTCAGCCTCACCATGGCCAAGAAGCAAAAGAACCAGCAGACCATGGGCTCTCTACAACTGTGACTTAAGTCCTCCCATCCTCTCTTAAGTTATGCCCTCAGATGTTTCCTCACAGCAAGGAGCCCCACAAACTAAGTTATTCTGAGTGAACGTCTGATAACACGGGTCCACTAGTCCTATGGCACTAAGTATATCCATACTTTAAACACATCTTTATCATCTAAAAGCAACTGAGAATAGAATCTTCTAGTGTCTCTAGAATTCTCTCTCTAGGCCTTTGCTTCCAAGGCTGAACTAGAAGGAGGGACCTTCTTACCCCAAACCTGGACAGCTCCCTAAATTAATCATTCCTTTTTGCTCCTCCATCCAGTCATATAATCAACAAAATCTCATCCTCAGTGACCACTTCTGTAATGGAAGACTCCACCCTTCCCCAGGGTGCAACTGTGGCAGTCACTGTGCTTATGCACTCACAGCCCCCTCACCACTTTCCACTCAAAGAGAGAAGACAGACACATGGCTGTGAACACCCTTAATCTATGAAATCAAATGCAATGATTTTTGTGCAAGGATTAAAAACTTGAATTTGTGGGTTGTTTTTTTTAAATTCACTTCAGTAGAGTTTAGCTGCCGTTTAGAAACTCGGCAAGCCTGCAAAGGAAGATTGAGCAGAATGAAGTGGGATGTTAACTGTCAAATCCAGCTCAAGTTTGCTCTTGGACTCATTCTGAGAGTGACTCATTTGGTAAACAATGCAGCTGCTGTAGGAGGCACGGCTGTCGGATTTGATGGATGGCTGTGTATCCCTGGATCTTCTGCAGTTGAGCAGATGGGCTTTGGGGCCAAGCAACCATATCAAGTCCATTGTGAGCCAGGAAGAAATATGAGAACTCTTTCTTCCGGTGGTACAGAGAAGGCATAGTTCCCTGGTACTCTGGACCCATTCTACATGCTGACCCCAGCCTGTCTATTGACTATAGCTCCACATCTGCCCTGTGTGAGTGCTACTGCTTCTCTAGATGGGTTGTGGGTACTGAGTCTTCCTTTCAAAGAACAAAGAGATCTCTGTTGGTCCCCAAATAGGAGAGGCTAGACGGACAATGAATATGTGATCATTGTTATGAAGAAAGAATGATTTCTGGAAAATATAAGCTTGGAAGGACAAATTGGGGTATTGAATGATGGCCATTCCTGTAGATGTAACCATCTTGTTAAATAAGAAACACAGAGCCAATGGAGAGATGGAAGCCCAAGAGGTCAGAGCAATAGCTAAGCGCTAAAAACCTTACCCTTCACTGCCGCTGCTGTCCTCCTCAGCAAGAGACCTACTTCCTGTGTGTTTGTCCTTTTTATTGACTTTCTATTCTGCCTTCTCATTGGTTGTAAACCCAACTACATGACCTCCTCGTCACTGCCCATCTATACAGACCTCCAGGTCTTCTATGGTTGGTATTGAGATTAAAGGCATGTGTCTCCATGCTGGCTGTATCCTTGAAAACACAGAGATCTGCCTAGCTCTGCCTCCCAAGTGCTGGGATTAAAGGCATGCACCACCACCACCCAGCTTCTGCTATGGTTTGCTATTAGCTCTGACCCCCAGGCAACTTTATTTATTAACATACAAATAAAATCACATTTCAGTACAAATAAAATATCACCATACCTTCCCTTGCTTAATGTGGGTCTAGCCTTGTCTCTCATTATAGTACACATTGCCAGTAAACAGTATCTAGATGTCCCAAGCCAAGATCAGCTCCCCAGGGCTGTTGGCAAATAGGAGCAAGGTTGTTGGTAAACTCTCCTCCATCTCTCTCCTCTGTTCAGGATAAAGGGACACTGGGCTCTGCTCCACATTGCTTGGCTCTGGCTTTCCAACCCCTAGAATGCTTGTGTTCTGTCCAGGGCAAGCACTCATTTTGTCAGAGGGGATGTGATTGGAGGAACTCTGAAAAAAAACCTCTGCCAAATATGTCTACATATCATTCTCACCCCTCCTGGCCTCTGGAAACTCTACCACAAGGTATCTCCATGTTGAGACGCAGAAGACATCCGTGAATATGACATCACAAAGGCAAACCTCAAGCCTGATATCATCTGCCATGCATACCTTAATTCAACCTTGACACCATGTGACCTGGTGCTTTGAATTATCAGGAGGCTGGAAAAATGGAGAGGTGGGCTTTAACACAAGGTGGGAGAGGAGATCTGGAGGAAGAGTGTCCAACTGGATAGTCCCTAACCAGTGATCCCAGGTTGACAGAATACTTACAGAGAGACATGGTGCTCGAGGAAATGGAAGCCAGAGGGAATAGAGAGGAAGGGAAGTCCCATTCCCTAGGGCAGCGTGAACAGAAAGCTTAGCCACGTGACTTTTCCACCAGCAGTGGTTAATCTTTTAATTTCTGAAATGTAGGATTGCATCCACTTGGACACTCAGTTAACACACCCTGCCAAGGACCTCTTCTAAGCCAGGAGAGTGACAAGGCAGTGCAACATGGGAGGCTTTGGCCTGAGTGGGGCCACCCCAGCCTTCTCTCATGCTTCCCCATTTTGCTCTGTTCCTAGGCCATGCTAGACCATGCTGCCTCTGTCTCACACCCATGGCCTGAGAGTCTCTTTCTCTATGAAGGACTGAAGACCTTACTTAGCCTTCCCTGGTCATCTGAGTGTGCAGGCACATATCCATGTTTCATCCTACGCAGTTTCATGAAGATCCTGTGAGATCTTCACCATGCCTATTCACACTTTGAGCACAGAGGTTCTTGTACCACCCATTTCCACCTACAGGCACTTCATTCTCCACCATCAGCCTCACTGAGACGGGCACTGATTTGCTCTCCATCTCCATAATTTATCTCAAGAATGTGTGAGCTGGGTGTGCTGGCACACACCTCTAATCCTAGTGCCTGAGAGAGAGGGGCAAGTGGTCTACATAGTGAGCTCCAGGCCAGCCAAGACTATAGAATAGAGTGAGACCGTCTCAAACAAAAAAGTATTGGGACTGGCATGCTGGCGCAGCAGTTATGGACACTAGCTGCTCTTCCAGAGGACCTGGGTTTGGTTCCTGGCACTCATATTAAGCAGCTCACAACTACCTGTAACTCCATCTCCAGGGGATCTGACACCTTCTTCTGACCTCCATGGGCACCTGCAAACACATGGTACATGGGCATACAGGAAGGCACTCACATATACACATAAAACAATAAAATCTTAATAATAATAATAATAAAATCTTTAAAAAAGAATATGTGTGGTCATGGAGTGTCAATCTTGATCTACAAAATCTTTTGAGATTAGCTTTTTTGCTCTCAGAATAATTCTTATCTACGTTGTTAGGCATGGCACCTATCTACTTATACTGCTAAGTAGTATTACAGGATCTGGATATACTATAGTTTAACTGTTCACATGTTGAAAGACATTTGGGTTGTTCCGAGGAATTTGGGACCATCACTAATAAAGCTATGAATACAACTGTAAATGCTTTTATATGAATCCAAGTTTTCATTTCTTCGGGATTAAGATCAATGGTTTCAGTTTTCCGGGTCATATGACAGCTACCATGTAGTTTTGTGAGGAACTAACTACCAGGCTCTTTCCAGCTTGGTATAATTTGACATTTCCATCAGCAATGTTTGAGAGATCCCTTGCTCCACATAGAAAACGCTTTCATTTGACTAAATGCCAAACTCCAATTCCTTTCGGCAGTTTCCTCCCAATACCCAGAGCAACGACAGCAGAAGAAACCCTTGCCCTCCCTGAGTCGCAAGACCTGGGCATCTGCCTCTTCCAGACACTCCCCGCCCACACTCACTTTGATTCTGCAGTCTCCTTTCATGTCTTCCCTCCTCTGAGGGCCTTCCAAGTTGCTTATCAATATCAGCTGCAATCCCTTTGTATCTTGTTCTGATCATAATCAGCTAATCCCCCCAGATGCCATGCACAGCAAGCCCCAGGGTGCTGTGCCCTGCCACCCCTTCTCATGACTCAGCGCCTTGCAGGAAGAGCCAAGCCAGCAGCCACCAGGCTCCATGCCAGCACTGGCCCCTCCCTCTTTACAGCCCCCCACCCCAAGTACAACTCTTTCTCCATTCCTGTGTTGCTAGGAAAGCACCAGAATTCTGTGGGCGGAACAGAGAATGCAGGCTCAAACTGGATGGGACCAGGAGGAGAACATGCTGAGAGGAACCTTGCTGTCCTCCAGTGAGTGGGTTCAGTCGCGATATCTGGACATAACTAACCACTTAACACTAGTTCTAGAACATCATGATATCATGCTAGTTACCAGTTGTTGAGTATTCAATGTGATTTTTAAAACACTGCACTTACTTATTTATTCATTTATTTGTATATTTTGTGGATTTGGTTCTCTTCTTCTACCATGTAGGTCCCCCAAATTTTAAAAAAGTTTTTACAGTTTCACTATGTGAGGCCTGGAGATTTTTTTAATTATTACATTTACTCATTTTTTGTTTATTTATTTAGAGTAGTCAGCTATCTCCTTTCACCATGTAGGTTCCAGGGATTGAACTCAGGTCATCAGGCTGGGTGGAACATAACTTTATCTGCTAAGTCATCTTGCCAGCCCTTGATTTGATTGATTGGTGTGATTGATTGATTGATTGATTGATTTTGAGACAGAATTTCACTATGTAGCCCTGGCTGGCCTTGAATTCTCCTAAATCCACTTGCCTCTGCCTCCCAAATGCTTGGATTGCAAGTATGTGATACCACATCTGGCAGAAGTACATTTTCCAGGCACAGAGTTTTTAAAGTCCTACGGCCACTATGACGAGGCCATTTCTACTCCTTTCTCCACAGCTTCATGACTCCTCTCACATAAGGAGTATTGTGTAGACCAAGTCTGTATAAACCTTAAGAGACCTAGACCTTGGACTCTCATCCTATTAGTTCATGCCAACATAATACCCATGCCAGTAAGGAGGTGGGGGATTCTGTCACAACAGCAGCTGTCTGGCCTGATAATAAAGTTCTTCAGTTGAGTGACAGTGCCCAGTCCATAACCAACATCCCCTGACAAGTGACAAATTCTGTGATGAAAAAAAAAAAAGACAAAAAGTTTCTGCACATTCAAAAAGTATATAAAGGAATATAGTATGTAGCAAGCTTTGAGCAAGGGATGCAGGCCAGTGTCTCTTGTCCACCTGCTCACAACCCGTGGCATACTACGAACTAGCAAGGGCACAGTGTGGCTTCATAGCATACCACAGTCCCAACATGCCTGTTGGTCACATACCATGCATGCTGGCAGTGTGCATTCCATGGGCCCCAGAACTCTGCCACCCAAGCCATTTCGCCTTCTGCAAGGACAGCTTGCTGATGGTAAATATTTCTCCAAGACAACTTCCCCTCTCGAGCTGAATGATATTTGACCTATGTGCTAGATTCTTCCCCAGTCCTCGCTGGAACCACACCTCCCTACTCCCCACACACCCAGCTGCCAAAGCCTGCTAAATATTCTACCTTGTACCAGAGAGGATTGCCTTCTAGATAACTCCTTGTCTCCTTAACTCGGGCTTGTTATGGGACCTTCTGACACGCGAGGCTGCCAAAAACAACTTCAGACTCCCACTATCAACATTCCAGGCCTCCCCAAGCCCTGGCACTCAGGGAGCCCCACCTTCTGGAACCACGCCCACCACACTCACGCCACCCCCCCCACCCCCCCAGTATCATTTGTTCCCTGCCTAGCTTGGACCCCCTCTCCCTTTTAAGCTGTTCTTCTGCTCAGGCAGGGGAGATCAGTTTGGCGATTGTTTAAGTTGTCTAGGACAGAAAGTTAGAATTTAAGAAACAGAAAATCATGCCTTTCAGGTCCGGATTCTAGAGCTAAAAGCATTCCCAGATAAGGTTCCAAGTCACTGGCTAGACAGGGCAAAGTAGTACACACCAGTAATCATCTCTTAGCACTCCGGAGGCTGAGGCAGGAGGTCCATATTTGAGGACAGCCTGGGACACAGTGAGACCTGGTTTTAAGAAAAGTTTTGTGTTTTTTTTTTTCTTTTAAAGCAAAGCAAAAAACTTTACCAGGTTCCAGGTTATAACAATCTTTTTGGCTCATCAAACCCCACTTTTATTACCAGGGACACCCCCCTTAGTGTGAATTTTCCCTCTGGATGCCTTGTTTCATATCCCCAAAGCAACAGATGTTTTCAGCTAGACATCTTCAGTTGAATATTAGAAAAATATAAATTGTAATTTATGTCTGAGGCAGAGCCCACCCATTTCCACCTCCCCGAATACTGTTTTTCTCCTGGGGTCCTCTCTTTGTAGGGTAGGGATGGTCAAACCAGGAGCCTGGGTGTTAGTCTTCATTTCTCCTCCTCAAATCCCGCATCAATTAATCTAATCTCTTACATAATTTCATATCCATCTTTTGCCCTCTATGGCCACATGATAATCTGGTTCCCAGCCTAGTGATTCTACCACAAGATTGTCTACCTTTTGGGGGATATCACAAAAGACCTCTCCATAAGCCACAACAGGATGAGAGGTTCCAGGGGATCCACTGAATCAAAAACATGTGTTTCTGAACTTCAAAGCTTAAAATGTTCTTGTACTGAGGTGTGTCCCTGCCCCTCAAAACAAGGTCTTTATTTATACAAAATTTCTTTGCTGTTAGAAGGTTAAATACTGAAGATGACGTATTCAGGTATCTTTTGTTCAACCTAAGCGTGTTAGTATCAAAAGTGCGTGTGGACAGTACATTCCTGAACCTAACTCGTGCCTTGTTTCTCTCTCCTCTCTCCCCTGTCTTCCTAAAATACTTTCTGGATATAACCATCCCTCTGCTTAAATTGGTCTGTTTTTAATCACCTAAAAGGTACATGTCTATCCAATGGCCATGTGAGAAATTTCAAGGTGTGCTCCTCCTTTCTGCTGCTTCTCTCTCTTCCTCTGTTCTGTGAAGAAGTTTTAGCAGTGTCCAAGTTTTCTAACCACTCCCTGAAGCTCTCTGTATCCTTTGCTGACACACGTGCCTCTCTTGGCCTGGAATGACCTTTCCACGGATGGTTACCTTGATTTGTAGTTTGTAAGTATCAATCATGGGAGAGTATACAATGTAACAGTTTAAGGACAAATTTAGAAGCAAAGAGAAGCAAAACTTGACCTGTGGTAACTTGACCTGTAGGGACAGCGACTAAAATTAGAGAGTAATGCTTGGGTTTTTGTATACTGTCAAGGAATCCATTGGGTATGTTCATTAAAACTTGCTTATGTTTTTGAAATATTTGGCAGGTTAAAAAAAAAACAGTATCATAAGATCATTAGTCCAGTAAGATTGCGCTAATGAAATACTATATATGAAATACTATATATATTCCATGTCCACTACATCTGAAATGTTTATAAGCATCAGGAACTTTACTGTATCAGCCTGCTAGAGTGTCTAATGAGGGTCTGTGTCCTGAATAGCCATGACTTTTCTTTCAGGAAAATGTTTCACATGAGAGCCGGAAAGGGACTCAGAGCATTCTTTACAAGGACAGGAATCCTGCTCATGAAGATGCCACCCCCATTAGCTAATTAGTGCCATCAGCTCCTAACAATAATTAGGATGAGAATTTCAACATATGAACTTGGAAGGAATACAAATATCCAGTTCATAGCAGTCATCAAGCATCTTGCTAATTTTGACCTCCATGTCTACTATATCTTTTCATTCACGGTCAAGAGAACTCTTTGTGAGCTGAAGGGGTGGGATTTCTGTCTCTCTCAAGTGTCTTCCAAGTGCATTTCTTTTTTGAGACAGGGTTTCTCTGTGTAGCTTTGGAGCCTTTCCTGGAACTAACTCTGTAGCCCAGGCTGGCCTCAAACTCACAGAGATCTGCCTGCCTCTGCCTCCCGAGTGCTGGGATTAAAGGTGTGTGCCACCACCGCCTGGCCAGCATTTCCTAATATTCTTGAAAGCAGTGCTTCCTTTCCTAATTTCTTGCATTGTTCCATACTTTTTCTTTGTTTTTTTTTTTTAAAGTGCTGACTTCCTATGTGTAGACGAGAAATTAGCTAACTTTTCACTCCCCTCTTCCTTAGTAGCAACAGCACTAACACAAGCATTAACTCATATTCCTAGAATTTTCCCATGCCAGGGGCTTGTGTGAATTTAATCCTCATAGGAACCAC